CATAACTGGCCAAATGAGATAGTAAGTACTGCAAGGCTAGTAAGTAACAGTAATCATTAAGAGGTGAGCAAACAGGAGAATACTGAAGAGAAAGTAAGAAGGCTTTCTAGAAAGAGTAAGTGGTATGGATTAAAGAAAGCAAGTAGAACATGCAAAAATGAATAAAGCAATGTGGCTGGAGCAAGTTTGCAAAGATCAGTTAAGAGAGAATCTTGATGGCTTGGCGTCCATAGCACAGTGCTTATGGCACCAGCCATAAACACAGAAGTTGGTGAATTGAACGTGGCTCAGAACAACTAGCCAACAATGACAACTGCGACAGAAAATAGCCAGGCATTGTGGTGGGCACCTGTAGTCCCAGCTACTTGGGAGGCTCAGGCAAGAGAACTGCTTAAGCCCAAAAGTTTGCTGTGAGCTGTGATGCCACAGTACTCTACCGAGGGCAACACAATGAGACTGTCTCCAAAAAAAAAAAAAAAAAAAAAAAATCTGAGAATCAAAAGTGTCTTTCCAAACTCTAACCATTCCATCTTCCTTCTTTTATATCAAAAAGAAACTGAAACAATGTATCCATCCTACACACCTTGAGTAGGCTGGCTTTTTGACAGGAAATTAGTAGAGAGGCAGGGTTGCCAGATAATTAAATTTGAGTTGCAGATCAGCCATGAATCCTTTTTTTAGTATAAGTAGGTACCAAATATTGCATAAGATCTACTTATATGAAAAAATTATTTTTCTATTTGCTAAACCTGGAAATTTCACAAAGAGGATCTCTCTGACCTAAGACTTCTGAAACTGAGAATTCATTAATTCCATAGAAAGTACTTCACTGCTAAGTTTTTGTCTGTGTATAAGAAAGTCTGGGCCCTTACGAACTTTGGGTTGACACACAAATATACTTTACTAAAAAAATAAAGCTATTTAACTAGTTTTACCTTTGTTCCCTCAAACTCTAGGTTTTTGATTCAAAAACAGTTAACCTATAATTTTGATTGTAAGTTAACTGTCCACCAAGCCATCAGAAAACTGCTGAAATTTCTAGAAAAATTGTATCTTTGAATTCCTATTTTTTTAGGCACAGTTTTATTTCATTTCAGGCTTTTGAGTTTGCAAAGTTTCCACTAGAAAGTAAGGTGCAATTGTGAAAGTTATACGGAAAGAATAAGCAGATAAAAATAGCAAAGACAGAAAATCAGAACTTACAATCTGACCCTCAGTTCTTTACTTGGAATTTTCCACAATATCACCATTAAAAATAAATTTTCATTCTCATTCAAAAGGAATCCATTATCGTTTTTCCTGGACTTGCAATGTGCCAAGAGAGCTTCCACTGCCTTTCTAATCTGCAGAGTGGAGATATACAAATAAGTTAAATGTTCTCAATCTAATTTAGCATCAGTTCCCCTCCGTATCTTTTTGCTCCAACTTAAAAACCCTCGCTTACGTATCCGCTTCTAAGACTGTCTACAAAAACGGGCCTCTTCTACAGAGGAGACTAAATCAGATGGAAACAGGTTCCTCTTGCTGTCAATGAGGGAGGCAGTAATCCCAGGAAACGTACAAAACAAACTGCAACCAGAATTTACTGCGTATCTGCTGTGTTCCAGGCCCCCGGGCAAAACGCTTTACAGGCATTCCCTCTTCTGATCCTGGCGGGCGTAAGAGGTACAGACCTGAAAATTAAGCGACTTGGCCACGGTGGGGATACAAAGTCAGGTCGACCTTACCTCGGAACCCCGAGTTACAGTGGAAATCCCATTCAAGAGAGCCAGGCCCTACGACTGAGGGAAGCAGGCGCCTACCTGCGCATGTAAACGGGCGAGCCAGCTGCGGCGTGCGGCCAGCGGGCGACTGTGTCGGAGTCTCCGCGGAGTCTACAGAGGCGCCAAGTCCGTACTCCCGTTCCCAGCCGCTCATCCAGCACCCCGGCGCCTCATAATGTCACGGTCACCCCACTCCCAAAGCAAACCTCCCGCAGGGGCCACTCACTTGATTTTTGTCTAGCTGTTCCTCTGCGCTCGGAGCCTCTGGAATTGAGGTGGAAGGTGCAGTCGCCTCTGTGCTTGGCGGCGGCATGGAAGCTGAGCCCTCCATTTCGCTTTCACCTCGTGCAGGATCCGGGCGCAGACCCCGTATGGGAACTTTGTGCTCATGCGCGACCAAGGGCAGGAGCCGGAAGCTAGGAGGCGGGGACCGGTTCTTCTAGCGTCATTTCCGGGAGAAGGTGGAGTTCGCGCGTCCGACGTGTGGTAGTAGCTGCGCGGGGGTGGGCAAACTGAGTTACGCTGCCAGGTTGCTCTCGGCGTCTGTCGCTGGAAGCATTCCCTCTCTTTCTGCTCTGCTCCGGCTTCCCAGGTGCCTCAGGGAGTAACCTGGGTACACTTCTCCCTTCTACACAGAAGAGGTCGAGAAAGCGCCTTGAGGCGGGAGAAGAGCGCTGTCTGGCGGCTCGGTGGGGTCCGCCGCACTCCATGGCCTCCGCCTCTGTGCTGGCCGCGCGGGGCCGTGGGAGGAGCGCGGAATCCCGGGCCCGCCTCCCACCAGCTAGCTGGGTGACTTCGGGCTGGTGGGGATTGACAAGGCACGAGGAACGCCGGGCGCATTGTTAAAAGATGAGACGGACCAGTCTCTTCAGTTGCCTCTGGTCTCCCAGAGAGGCAGGAGGTAAGGTCCTATGCACATAAGCGTGGAGGCCGGATAACTGACAGGTGGAAGAATAGGGTAGAACGGCTCCCTCCCCTTTCACCACCTCCTCACGGTGAACTGCGGGTACCACTATCACTTGGAACCTTCCAGAAATGTTTTAGGCATGTTTAGGATGGATGGGGTTTAAAATTTTTTTTTCTTAAGACACAAATGGTATGGGGCGGCACCTGTGGCTCAATGGAGTAGGGCGCTGGCCCCATATGCCAGAGGTGGCAGGTTCAAGCCCAGCCCCGGCCAAAAACTGCAAAAAAAAAAAAAAAAAAGACACCAATGGTAGCTCAGTATATCCACTGTTTCGCACCTTTCCTGTTAATGTTTCTTGGCGATTTTTCCCAGTCAGTACGTGAAGGTCCTGCCTCATCTTTGCAAATGGCTGTGTGGCATTCCACCATGTAATTACACGACAGTGATTTGATAGCACTCAGGATTGTTGCAGTCTTTTTGCAATTAGCTATGTAAATTTTTCTGAGATGAAAGAATGGGAGTAGGGGCTTTACATGTCACTTGTTTTCAAAAAGTGCTCCTTCCACGAAAGGATGCTGCTGATGTTTGATAATGGCCTCATCTTCAATCAGCTTGCAGAAGTGTCCTTAAATCCTTGGCACCTACTTCCACTAGTTTATTCTAGAATCTACTATAAGATGAAATTTGTTTTAGCACAATGTCATGAATTGTTACATTGGGCTTCATGTATCAGTGTTTTCTAGCATTCTATAAAGGGTATGGGGGCTTTCAGATACTCTGTCACCTGAATTCAAGTTTGAGAACCAGATTTCTAGGCCACAGAGACAGAGTACATTCAGGTGAAAGAGCGCCAGTGGTTGGTGTTTTGAAGCAGTAAGTGGCTGGAGCAGGGATGTATGGAGGGAGGAATGGAGATGACACTAGCAAAATTGGATAAGGAATTAATTCATTATCAAGCTGAGGGTTTGTACTTTGGAGAAAGCATGGAGCTGTAAAGGTTTTGAACTGGTAGTACGAAAGAAGAGAAGGTAGTGAGTGATGAATTATGCTCTACAGAAGTTCATCTTGTTCCAGCATTGTGGTTTTATAGATGTGCCCAATGTCTACAAATTCTTTGATACTTCTCCCTTCCTCAGCTCCTCATTGATGGAGCTTCTTCATTTTCCCTTGCCTTGAGTGTGAACTAGCCTTAAGTGACTTGCTTTTATCACATAGAATATAGCAGAAGTGGTAAGATGTCACTTCTGAAAGTAGGTTATAAAAAGACTGTGGTTTCCACCTTCAGTGTTCTTTTTCTTTACCAGTTTCCCTCTCCTCATCACTTGTGAGGCAGCCCTGGAGAGAGGGAAGCTAGCTGCCATGTTGTGAGGACACTTCAGGCAGCCACATGAGTGAGATTAGAAGTGGATCCTTCCCCATTGGAACTTTGAGATGACTGTAAACTCCTCAGAGACCGTAAGCCAGAACCATCCAGCTATGTTGCTCCCAGACTCCTGATACAAAAACTGAGATAGTAAATATGTTATTTTAAGCCACAACATTGAAGTAATCTGTTGTTTATAACCAGTGGATAACTAATAGAGATTTGTACATCTCCTACCTTCAAACCTATTCATATATATTCATCTGTTTTTACTTAAAGTCTTATTGGGACTTCACCCTCAACAAGTCCCACTATGATAAACTCACCATCTCTCCTTCAAACCTGCTCCTCTTGTGTTTCCTGCTTCCATCATTGGTACCACCAAGCCAAATACGGAAGTTAACTGTAACTCATTTCTCTCAATCCCCAAATACTGTCATTAATGAAGACTTGCTTATTCCTTTTAAACATCTATTTTATTTTATTTATTTTGTTTTTTTGAAACAAAGCCTCAAGCTGTCCCCTTGAGTAGAGTGCTGTGGCATCACAGCTCACAGCAGCCTCCAACTCCTGGGCTCAAGCGAGTCTCCTGCCTCAGCCTCCCAAGTAGCTGGGACCACAGGTGCCTGCCACAATGCCTGG